AGTTCCACCAACCTTATATTGTACAAGGTCTGTTTGTCATGTTATACTTTTTCCCAGATAGTAAAAAGAAGACACAATCCCCAGTGAGTTAGTAAGCATAATTCTTTCATGCCGGGAAAAAAAAGTGAAAAGAAAAATGAGCTGCATAAGGTTTTCCTGTGACATTTAAAGTCTAAATCTGAGTTTGTCTGAGTAATTTATCTTTGGGTATTTGCAGGAGAGTGAACAGGAGAATATGAATGAGTGCATCTCAGTTATGTTTGAGCTTTCTGATAGATGAAGAGAATTTCTAGTGACTCCATCTGGCGGGAAGGTCTATCTGTGTGATCTCTTCTCTGGCAGATGGAAGATAACACTAGGAGAAGTCCTTTGATTATCAAAGCCTGGGAATTACTCCAGTGCACTATCACCCTAAGACACCACTTTCTTTCAGAGTGACAGGTGATGTTTCTGGGATGTTAGAGAGAGCTGATTTCCCCCTGCTGCACTGAACATGTGTACAGCAGATTTTATTTGGCAGTATTAAACCTATCCACCTTCTGTATCTGTTGCTGGTGAGGAGAGAAATGAAAATAGAGAGTATCCATGTAGAGAACACAGCAAGTACAAAGGGACCAAAGAAAAAGGATGTGTTAATCAACTTCATTAATATTTCTACAGTCTGCTTGGATTATTGGAGGTTCTATGAACTACTTTTTGAAACATGTAAAAGATGATTAGGCTGACGTTAATTGAAGTCTTTCTTGAATGTTGAGGTTCTTTCTCAAAGAGAATAGCAGTTTTTATTTCCCACTACTGTTGGCTTTGTGCTTGCACGTGTGTTTGCAGTATCCCATTGAGCAGTCTCACACTTCTGTCAGGACTTCTCTTTGTAAGATGCAGTGTTGCGTGTGAACCTACCAGCAGTCCTGCATCCAGACCTTCCTTTAATTTCTAGGAATAAGATTCAGCTTATTCTTGTGAGTATGAGAAGTTAACTAATGGAGCCAACACCAGCCTCCTGTGAATTGCCTACCATTTTGGCATGTTACTTGTGTGTACCCATCAGAAAGCAGCTGTGTGTGTCAGTCCTTGCTCGGAAGGAAAACAAGAAAAGACTGTGCAGCCGTGGGATTCGTGGTTCATCAGGGTTTCCTCTGATGTCTGGGGAAACGTGGGCTGGGCAAGACAATCTCTACCCTTTTCTGCACTGGAGCATGTTCTGGTCCATAGGAGGAGGATCCACCTGCCACATGGCACTTTTGGGGGATTGCTGCATTGCCAACAGGCGAGACTGGAGCACCATGTTTAATCTTCAGCCTGGGCTTGTTCCTCATCTGCTTTTCCCCACATTTGCACAGCACGAAGAGTCACTTGAAATACAACTGTTTTCACCAGCTGTTTGCTGATGAAAGGGCTGGAAGGCATGTCATCTGAGGAGCAGCTAAGGACTCTGGTTTTGTCTAATTTAGGGAGGGAAACCTCTCTGCTCTCTGTGGCTTCCTGAGGAGGGGGGGTGCTGATCTCTTCTTCCTGGTATCCAGTGGTAGGACGCATGGGAATGGTTCAAAGCTGCTCCTGGGGAAGTTCAGACTGGACATTAGGAAGCATTTCTTTACCAAGAGGGTGGTCAAACACTGGAGCAGGCTTCCTAGAGAGATGGTCGATGCCCCAGTCCAGTCTGTTTAAGAGACATTTGGACAATGCCCATAAACAACATACTTTTAACTCTTGGTCAGCTCTGAATTGGTCAGGCAGTTGGACTAGATGGTCGTTGTAGTTCCCTTCCAACTGAAATATTCTATTCTATTCTATTCTATTCTATTCTATTCTATTCTATTCTATTCTATTCTATTCTATTCTATTCTATTCTATTCTATTCTATTCTATTCTATTCTATTCTATTCTATTCTATTCTATTCTATTCTATTCTATTCTATTCTATTCTATTCTAATATTTTACAGTCTGGACACTGGCTGTACCGTGGAATTCACCAGTGCTAACAATACACAGCAGACCATGAGGTTAACAAAAGCCATGCCCGTGAGACCACATTTGCCTCAATCACCACTCCCCTTGGTCTGGAGGAAAAAATAATTTGAGGTAGCCCTTTCCTACATACACACTGCCTTTCCCGACTTATCCATGCTTATCACTGCAGATCAGGGTAGAGAGTTCGTGACTGAGTCACAGCTCCATCCAAATTCATAGAGATGGGTAGAGGTCATCTTTGTTGATAGGAAATATTCATGTAGGGTCACTGTCCAACCAGATGGGTCATTATGTATGAACGTGCCCCTTTTACCACATAACTACTGTAGCCTCATGTGGAACAGTAACTTATATTTGTACAAGCAGTCAGTGCTTTGTTCCTCAGAAACCTGAGGCAGATCAGGAACAGTCAGGTTTTGGGAGGTTTCTGAAGGGGGATGAAGAATTACTTTCTGTGGAGCTTCCCTGCGTAATTCACAGGTACATCTTGCTATCCACCCGATCACTGCCTGTTTCATTTCACCTCTTGCTCGATCCTGGTTTTCAACATGAAATTCTTAATCATAGCTAATGTCATATCTTCAGTTATAGTAATCTCACTGTTGGTCTTTCGCTGTCTTTCGGTGCTCGCCAGCACTAAACAATGCAGAGGGACACTGTAAACATCTGAGGTTCCAAATGTCAAACCTCAGGATCCTGTTACAAAGAATTTAGGACAACAGCTAGGTTACTCTACGAGCTTTGATTAAAATTAACAAGTTTACTGCTTCTTAAATATTTTGGTTTAATATTTATAGAACTTTCCCTGCCTTAAGTAACTTCTGAGAACTTACTTTTCTATTAATACCGTAACCTGGCTGTGTATAATCAGCATGTGATTCATGCATTTAATGGAGTTTCGGTCTTGAATGTGATTTCTCTGGCACTCTCTCTGATTTTTTCTCTTTGCTATTCACACTGGCCACCTGAGACACTTTCTGATTTTTTTGGCATAGCATTAATTTTGATTTCATAGTTGATAGCATTATTATTTTATCAAATAACCTGATAAATTGTTACAACAAATTTGCAGCAGCAGCCAAAGCACTGATGCTTTCTAATGGTGCACTTTACCTCTGCTCTACTATCACTGCCCATTTCATTATTTGCAAGTTGATTACAGCTGCATTTCTCAGGGGCTATGAAATATTCAGCAGCCTGGACTAGCCTGGGGAGAATCACAGTCTTTGCAACTGAACACCTTACCTCAAAGGCAAAGAGGAACCAAAATCTTGTTGTGTTTAAAACTGATGGGGAAATTCCTTCTCTGCTTTAGCTTTCCCACAGTGCTGACTAGAGGTACATGCTAATTAAAAATTGCTGCTTTACTTATGCTTGTCATTGGATGGGGGGAGGAATAAGAATAAATATACAACTACTGCATTTCTGCCATACTTGCCTGGCTACAGCAAAGAAGGAAAAAAATGTTGGTATAATTGGTTGCCTGTGTGTCAGTGTGAGGCAGTTGGCATTCTGGGTGGAGTTGGGAAAAAAGCTCTCCCTTAAGGGCAAAAATTAACACTAGCGGTTATGTTCTCACACTTGTCTCTCTGGAGGACTAGCCAGCAATGATTGACTGAAATAGGCAATATTTTACCAAGTAGGAAACAGATAAGATTTTTATAAACAGGATACTTCATCATTAAAGTAAAGAAACAATTGCTTTGACCTTGACACTGAATGAGTAAGGCCAGCATTGTGATAATTGAGAATGTAGCTAAGCAACAGTTCTCCAGGAGCTTGCACTGCTTTATTTTTAGTAGACTACACCAATAAAGGGGGAGGCTGAATGAGCAAAGCAACTGGTTAATGCTTACAAAAAATAAATTATTTCTGTCTCTGTGCAAAAAGTTGGAGTTTTAATATATGCTTATACCAGTTTTAATTTGGGTTTACATCAAAAGAAAGTAATTGAATCAGTATATCCTTCTGTGGTCTGAACAAGCAGATAGCCTGACAGTATCTCTAATTTCTTAAGCTGCTTTAGAGACTTGAGTCTCTTCTGAAAATTAATGGTGTGGAAGAAATGTCATGTTCCTTCAGAAACGGTCTATTTTAGATCTGTTTCTGCTTACTTTGGTGGTAATTACGTTTCCTAATCTTACTGGTTAGCACTGTACAGCCTGATTTATTTATTGCTCTAACTTTGGTTTAAACTAGTCTTACAATACTACAGCAAGCTAATTCCCCACAAAGTTAATGGTTTAAGACCCTTTAAATCTGAAATAATAGTCCAGGGAAAGGAAGGTACTTTCTTCTAGCTAAGTCAATCTACAAACCAAGTTAGTTTAATTTTTCAAGTAGGCAAGGGAAAGAAAATCAGCCTGAGAAGTTTGACATTTTTATTATGTTGGCACTGCAGGATTGATTGCAACCACATGGCCACTCCGTTATCTCATAACTAAAAGTACATGTTGCAAGGCTGGTGCTAATGGAAAGTTTTCAACCTCTTTACCTCTCTCTATTCCTAGTAAATCTCTCATCACTGACCTGGATGCTCTTTCTTTAGATACCAAACCAATACAATTACTAAGTAACAATGAGTTTCTGCTCATAAAACCCAAGCAGTTGCAGAAATCTCTCTGAAGAGACTGTCACTGCATGGGTATAAACTACCCTAATTTTACATATAGGAGCCTTCAATTCTGATTTGGCGTATGAAATCCATAGTATTGACAGCATTACATAGGTGAGAGGATAAAAATGTCCTAATTCTCAGCCTAACTTCCTTGTCATATCTTTAAAAATCAGAAGACAGTGAACACACAAAAATAATAAAAAGGAGTTTTAAAACTGTATTAGTTACTCTCAGGTATTTTAAACACAAGGAAACCTTTTTCTAAAGTACTTTTCTTATGATATGATTTAAATCTGAAGAAACAGAGGGTAATGTATATTGTCTGTTATCTTCACATAGTGTGGCATAATTTAATTCAAAATTGTGAATTTTTCTTTTTTCTTTTTTTTTTTTTTTTTTTTTTTTGCCTAGGAGGAAACAGTTTGCCAATACTGTATATCACTTGAACATCAAGCTCTGCAGAGGCTCCAAGGTAATTATTCATGAAACTGCTTTTTGTTTCCTCTGGTGGTCAGCTTGGCTGTAGTTCAGTTTTCTGAAGACCCCTGTAATTTATGAAGGTGCCGGTGCTAAGCAATTAAACTGGGTACCGGCAACATTACAAGTAGCTTTTACAGAAGCTGTTGCTTACAGCTTGATGATCCATGATGTGCTGTGAGGGACTGCCAGCATGTGTATAAAATAAAGATGTGATACGTTTTGAAAATGCAGTTGTTGTTTTCATATCTTAAAAAGCAGCAGTACCAGTCCCAGTTGAAAGGTAAAATCAGGTGGATTTGGGTGATTCGGAAAGTCTTTCATTAACCCTCAGCATCCCACTGTTGTAGCTCGTTGTCTTCCTGGAGCTGTGCGAGAGCCACCACGTGCTCTGCAGCACTGGCACGGGCTTTCCTGCCCCAGACGATGGGAGCTTTGGTTGGTGGATTTGTGCTGGTCAAGCAGAGCAATGACTGCCTCATTGGAAATCACCGTCTTTGCTCAGTTCTTAAAAGCTACTTCTGCCATTGCGATTGCTGTAGATGCCACAGACCTATACATCACATTTCCTTGTGTCAGAGCATAGCTAATGAGCTCTCCATGGGTGTGGACAGAAACTAAATAACAAAATAGACAGCTGGGGGTTCATATTTCATGTTCAAGTTATGAAGCTCTCCCACTGTGGAGGGTATGGAAAAGAATACTGTGGTTAAGAAGTTAGTCTGGGTGTGCAGTCCACAAAGCATATCTGGTACTTTTGCGAGGAGGCCAAGGAGATTCAGTCTTCAGTATGTAGGCTGCTGTTGCTTGCATTCATTTACTGGAGATCTGATAAGATTTGAGCAATATCAAATTTATATTGGGTTGCCAGTTAAATAATTAACATCTCCCAGCACCTGGCAGATGGTGAATTTTCAAACACTGCAGTTATTTTTTATTCCAAGTATCCTGGCCCTTGCTGCTATGCTGTTTCTAGTAAGTGATGATATAGTACCAGACCAGATTTGGTTGCATGTAATGCACTCAATTTGTGGCTGAGTTGAGAAATACTGGGAATATTTCAAGTCCCTTTCCTAGCACAGTGATAGCCTTGAAACTTTCCAGGGAATCAGTGCTTTGCTACTGCATACCTAGCAGGTAGTCTTTACTTACGGCATATTGATAATATACCATGAGCAAAAAACTTCCAGTGTAGCCACATTGCACTGACTGACCTGGTGCATGTTCCTAGCTTTTCCTAAAGGAAAGCTGGTTTGCTTAGAAAAGCTTACTGGTTTAACTTGTCCTTTGCAGAAACAGAGAGCACATGTCTTGTAACGTATTCGGTTGCCACAGCTTGTCTAATCAGGTACCTCCCGAGCTAATGTGACTGGTAGTATGAGTTTGTGTGGATATACTCCAAGTCCCTGTCTCAGATTCTTTTTGTTATCTGTACATAGTACGGAGATGCTTCAATCCCAAATCTTGAGGCCAAGAGAAATGCATAAATATAACTGACGTATGATTCATAGAAGCATTGCTTTTTGTTAGTATTTATCTTTAAAATTAACATAGAAATCCATGAGCCTGACCAGACACTTCAGAGATAATATTGATGTAAAATCAATTTAATACCACTCATGCTTCTGGAGACTTACTTTGTGGAAGCAAGAGGACTATGATAGTTGTCTTTAGATCTGTCAAAGATGAAGTGTTTTCGTTCTAAACTCTCATTCTCTGTAAAAGATACTGAAATCTGGAAATGAAACACTTCTGAAAGGTGAGGATTTCTTCTCACTTCCCTGTTGACTAGCTCATCATTTTGGAAATTCTGTTTGCAATAAAAATGTGTTGATGACTCTGATGTGTGTCTAAAGGGCCTGGATAACCTGAACTCTTGCACAGGAAATCAGAAACTGCAAACAGGTTATTATGCCGTGTAATCCTCCATCAGCGTCAGACAGCAACACAGTGCTGTAGATCCAGAGAATTATCCTTCCAGTTCAAAAAAGTTGGGAATCATAGAGCCGGAAAAAAAAAAAAAAAAAAAAAAAAAGTTTTATTTGGGTTCTAGGATCTTTTAAAAATCTGGATGTACTTCTCTGTTTATAGTACAGCCCAGAAACAGCTGTTTGGCCTTGAGTGAGACTGGAAAGTGAAGACAGGATCCTTTCAACCAGCTGTTTTGGTGGAAAAGTAGTATCAACTTCAGCCTGGCAGTGTGGGATTTTTGACTGTATTAAAGAAAAAAAAACAAAAAACAAACCTTCCGTGTGTCACTTGACAGGTATGGTTTAGAGAGTGACCAAAGTACATTCAGATGGGGGTGGGAAAGGCAAGGGTGGCCAGTGATGAAGGAGGTGGGTGAACTGAGCACTTCTTTCAGCCAGTCAGGCTGCTGAGGGTCTCTGTGTAGAACCACATCTCCAGGTACTGCATGCCCAGATGGGTCTGGGTACTTCACAGCCAGTCTCAGTTTTAGGAAGCATAATTATCCATTTAAATAGCATAAAAAGCATAAGAAAGTGTGAGTCAAGTGATCATTGGCCAAGTGTCCAAGGTCCTGTCACCCAACGGTTGGCAGAAATATGCATTGTGCAGTCATTTTGTTAGAAGCAGAGCCACAGCAGTTTCCTGTGAGAGGTGCTGTGGGGTGAGGGACATGTGAGGGGTGAAGAGCAGGGCAGGGGTCTCTCGGGTAGGTCTCTGTAGCAGGACAGCTGAGGTGTTTGCAGGCCCTCCCCTGCAAACCTGAATTTTGCGGAGGACGCGCAGGCCTGGTTCGGTGCGTGTGGTGGCCCTTGCTGGGGCTTTGCAGTGCTCTGCCATGTTCCCTGTGTCTCTGCTCCGGGTTGTCTGGCCTGGCATTGGCATGGCAGAGGCACCAAGGAGTGTGGCTGAAGGAAAATTTGTGAGCCGAGTGCTCTTGGTGAGCTCTCATCAGGACTGAGAGAGTGCTGTCAGGAGCCTGGCTGTGCCCATCGCCAGAAGGTCAGCGAGAAGAGGTGAAGAGGCACTTCTCTGGGAGTGGCTTCAGTGCACAGGACACCTTGTTTGGTGCTTAAAGTTTACAGCTTGCCTGTGCTGGAAGATACTCAGGAATAGCTGCTCTGCTTTCAGCTTCCATCCTGACAGTTTCCCTAATAATGTTCACATGCAAACAGTCCGCCGCTGCGCCCAGGGGTTGGGGTTTGTATATATTCAGCATGAATGAAAAAAAACATACAAGCTTCAACCTGAGCTTTTTCCTTTTTGCTTGTGTGGGTTTTGGGGGTTTTCTTTGCTTGTTTGTGGAGTTTTTTGTTGGATTTTTTTTTGTCACTTTTTTTTTTTTTTTTTTCTGGAAATCCCCCTCTCTCTGTCTTTAGCATTTCACTTCCTTTGTGTTGGTAAAAGCATTTTCTATTGCTGTTGATGCTAATGGGCTCCACCATGTTGGCTGCTGTGAGCCTCAAGACATCTCTTATCTCTGCTGCCGTCAGTGGTAGCTTCTCCGTGTCTGCAGGTTTGCCTCCCTGAGATGTCAGGTTTTCCCTCTGCTTTCTTTAGATTGCCTTTCCAGATGGCCAGCTCTCCTGCAGGAGTAAGCACCCCCAGGCAAGGGCACTCAGCTGCAGCTCCTCAATCTGAAAGGGTCATAAATACATGAAGTTTGTGCTTTTCATTACACTGAACGTAACAGGAGGAGCCGCCTCGTCAGCATGCTCCCAGGGGGAGGATCTGCACTAAAAGGTCTGCATAACAGCAGGGGGGGGTGAAAAAACCCCTTTGAGAGCAATGTCCCTGGGCTGGATGTTGGTGACTTGGAGTCAGTGATCTCAGAGGTCATCCACAGGTCTGACTACAGCTTGCCATCTTGCCTTTACCTCTTCATTTTCTTCCCCCTTTGCTGTTTGCGTGGCCATGCTGCTGAGCCTGGATGCCTGTGGCTGCTGTGAGAGCTGCTGGCAGCAAGCACCGGCAGCTTGCCCCCGGTCCCAAAATAACCCAGCTGCCTCCTCACGGGTTTCCAGCATGAGGTTGACGTTTGCAGGGAACCACGGTGGGAAGGAAGCGTTTTTGGGGAGGTGTGAGGATCTGCGAGACTTCGGCCCTCCTGGCCTGTGGCGAGCTGGGATGGGAGGTGACGCGCTGCCACCTGGCACAGCCCAAATTTTCCTGGTGCTGGAGGACACAGAGGTGGAAGGAAGGAGGTGCAGGAGTCAAGCTTGTGCAGGTCCACCTTCAGTCAGGTGCGCGAAAACAAGCGAGCAACAGTTCCTCCCAATGCTGCTCACTATGTGGGGCATTTAACAGAACCCACCGTTGTCAGACGTAACGTAAAGGAATTAAGGGACCACCTCGCGACAGGAGTTACGGTCGTTTTGTGCAGACCCGTGCTGTAGCAGTGGAGCGATTCAAATATTGCTGTGGCGGGTTTACAGCTGCAGGGCCACGGTGGCCGTGTCAGACCAACAAACTGTGCTGACTGTGAAAATAGGCTAACATTGCAGGAATGACTAAGGCAATTACGGGGCTGCATGAATGATTAATTTACCCTGCTTTTGTTTCAGTTTTGATCCGAAGCCCTCTGCAAAAAAAAAAAACAAAACCAAACTATAAGGCAATTTTGTAAGAAGGTGTTTTTAAAATAATAAACCAGTTGTAATAACGTCTTTATTATGCAGATGTGCACAGAAACTACTCCAAGAGGCACAGAGTAAAAAATCAGTTGCTACTGGATCTCTGTAAAATGAATATTTTAAATTTGTAGATAAGTATTTGCCAAACACTTTGCAATCAGAATATCTATTCACATTTTAAGACAACAATGTTATTATTCTTCAAATAGGATATGCAGTGGCATAGTGGTAGTGCTTTCTTAATAACCCTCCTTTAAGCTCAGTTTAGAAAGCATTTGTTTTGTTATTAAAATTACTCTACATATTTGAGACAGTCTTCAGCTGAACAACTGCCTAACACGTGCTAGACACATATTGATTTTTTTGTCTTAGCCCAGCGTTTCCCCTGGGCATC